GGTTAGTACTGTAGTATATTAACTTTTATTTCTTTTTCTTTTTAGGTTTTTTCTAGGTTGCTTTCTCATTGATTTTACAATTTGCTGATGAAGGAAATTTGCAAGAGTATCTAAGAAAAAATTTTCTAGCTTTAGAATGGATAGATAAATATCGTATTGCAAAAGAAATAGCGCAAGGTCTTTTATTCTTACATAACAATAATATAGTACATCGTGACCTTGTAAGTATACTTCATGTGGTATAAAGGAAGTACTTTGATATGTTTAGGAAGCTAACGATTTTTTATAGCATTCTAAGAACATATTAGTCCACGAACGGAGAATGTTGATTGCAGATTTCGGTTTATCACAACATATTAATGATGAATTAACACAAAAAAGTATTCATGGGATGCCAGCATATATCGATCCAAAATGTTTTACTAATAGTTCGCATATACGCGATAAAAAATCTGATATATATAGCCTTGGAGTAATTCTCTGGGAAATTTCAAGCGGTAGACAACCATTTCAATCGTTCACTTCTAAAGAAGCAATCGTTATTCATGTATTTCAAGGAAAGAGAGAAACACCCGTAAAAGGAACGCCATTACAATATCGTAAGCTTTACGAACAATGCTGGAATCAAGAACCTAACAATCGTCCAGAAATAAAATCAGTTTATGACGAATTAAATGAACTATTTCCTGTGTCTGTGGAAAACATCAATACAAAAATTTCATCAAACGTGCTTGAAATGGCCATCTCCCAACAGCAAATTAATAAAATTGATTATAGTGAATTTGCTAGCCCCATTCCAATTTGTGAATTTGGTTCTACATACAGATCAGAGTGGAATCATTTTAAAATAGCAGTGGTTCTTAAACATTTACGAATAGAAACAAACTCCGATAAATATACAGTTCAAGATTTTGTAAAGCAGGTATGAGCAATATTTATTATAAACTTTTTGTATCGTATATATTAATGATAAGCCATTGCGTACACGATATACAAGTATAATCTTTTACAAAGAGCAAGCTTTCACCCAAATATAAGTCATTTCTATGGTGTAACAAAAAAAGGTATTCATTTCTATCTTTGATGTTCAAGCCGACAGTTCGAAACAAAACTGGCATTAGCAATTTAAGCCATTCTTGTTAATATCTGAAGCTTTTTAATACACATATAACGCATTATTACTAATAATCAAAATAATAAAATCTATTCCACACATGTATATTATTTAGATGAAAGTTATATGTCAGTGTTACAATTTGCAAATAGTGGGAATCTTAGAGAATATTTTAGATCACATTTTTCGGAATTAGAATGGGCAGATAAACTCCATATTGCAACAGATATAGCACGGGGTCTTGCGTTCTTACATAATTTGGATATTATCCACCAGGATCTTGTGAGCAATATTTTCTCATTTTAGTGTTGCAGAGTGAAAACTTGTAATGATCATAGTAAATCATTAAGTACTGTTACAGGTTTTCACTTTGCAACGTTCGTTTATGAATCTTTTTTGAATTATATGTTCACTAACATATGTCTAGCACTCTAATAATATTCTAATCCACGAAAGAAGAGCGATGATTACGGGTCTATTAAAACATATGACTATCGAAGCCTCAACTTCAAATTTAATGGATGGAATGACAGAGTACATTGATCCCCAATATTTTAAAGATCATAGATACAAATGCGATAAAAAATCTGATATTTATAGCTTTGGAGTTATTCTTTGGGAAATCTCTAGTGGCCGAAAGCCGTTTACCTCGTTTAGATCACAAGAAGAAATTGCTATACATATATTCAAAGGAAATAGAGAAAGCCCTGTAGAAGGCACATCATCTCAGTATATCGATATTTATACCAAATGTTGGGATGATAATCCTATAAAACGCCCTGAAATTAGGACCATCCTTAATTTTTTAAGTCAATTTAATTCAACAAGCACTCATAAAAGCATCGAAAAGTCTTTAAATAGATTTCTTGAAAAAGCTATTTTCAATCAACAAATTGCTTTCTTTAATTATACTGAATTTAGTGACACTGTTAAATCCGTTAAAGATTTTAAAGCTTCGTGGAAAAATTACGGAATTATGGTCACTCTTAGTTCCCTTAATGATAAAAATTTAAAAAAAAATATTATTCAAGAATTTATTTACAAGGTAAGCACAGGTTGAAATAAACTGACATATCAGGTACCTGATGTTTTACTAATAGTTCTATCAGCTT